TCCTCTTGTCTCTCCTCAATTTTTTAAATTCTATTAATGTCTTGATGTCTGGGTTTGTTGCATGTGACCAGTCATTCTGGAGCTCTCCATTGTTTGTGTTCCAAAGTCTGTTTTCTCAGTGTCTACCTCCCAGGGGTCTGTGTGAGCCCTATATTCTTCTTTTGATTTTTCTTCATTTGTGCAGATTTTTCCTCCCTACTTTACCCTTCCCTCCACTTCCCCATCTTCTTTAATTCTGTTATTCAGGGGTTGAGAGGTTGCTTTTACTTCTGTTTGTTCAAGCTCCTATTCTTTCTAATGTATTACCTCTTGCTTTGTTCAGTTCTGGAGTTGGACTGTAGGTTGAGGCAGTCCTTTTTGTAGTTTTGAGATTTAATTAAGGGTGGAGCTGTGATTCAAAATGTCTCTGCAGATCCCAGTATCCGCCAACAGGTGTATGGATAGTCTGAAACCCACTTCCCACTGCCTTGGAGTCTGTCTATGCAGTGGGGTTGTAGGTTTACTCTCTTGGATCTCCATCAGGTGGTGCTATTTCACCAATGCAGCTGCTGAAGCTGAAGCCTGCAGTCCAGAGGGGAGTGAGGCAGTTATGGATCCACAACCAGTGGCGGTCACCTCCCCGTACATGGGGGGAGTTACACAGGCCTGGTTCTGGGTGAGGGATGTGGCATGGCAGTGGCAGTGGCAGCAGCAGCTGGGCAGAGGTGATCTCAGAAGATCCTGCTTGCGGGGGCTTCACGGTCCAAACTCACATGTTGCCTCAGGCATGGGCAGGCAATGATCACAGCAGCGGCACCCATGGCTGTGGCAGCAGCCCAGACCGCCATGATGTCTGAGTAGCGGCAGCAGTGGCAGTGGCAGCTGAGCTCCCTGTGAAGAGCAGGATGCGGAAGATGGAAGCTGTAGCCCTTGGAAGAGAGCTAGGGTCTTTATGAGTTTTTTCGCAGAGGGTCTCACAGACCATGCTGCCCCGTCACCATCTTGCCAGAAGTCGAATGATACACTTTAAATGGATGAAATTTATTATCAATAAACTTGACTAAAAAAAGTAAACAATCAAAAGGAAATCTCTGGAGGTTAGCCCTATCCTTGGTAGTTCAGTTACATGAACAATAATTTTCATTTTCACTTAAGCAATTTTGGGTGTAGTTTTCTTTTTTTTTTTAAATCAATATTTTTTATTTTAATATTGTGGGGTACAGTTAAAGGTTAGGTATACAAATATGCTTTGTTCAGGCACCCTTGTTGATAAGGGGTGTCTCTCCATCCCCAGACAGATATTGACT